CAGTGGGTTAAGTGTCTGACTCTTGATGTTGGCTCAGGGCTCAGATCATGATCTCATGGTTCGTGAGATTGAGCCCCTCATCGGGCTCTGTGCTGACAGCGCAGAGCCTGCCTAGGATTCTCTCTCTCTCTGTACCCCTCCACAAAATAAATAAATGAACTTGAAAAATAAAAATGGTTAATTGTATATGAATCTTACGTCAATTTTCTTTTTAAAAGGATATATATGGGTCTACTTCATGGTCGTGTCAATTGATGTGAGAAGACACTGGATAAAACTGACACCCATTCATGACTTAAAAACAAAAACAAACTGGGGCGTCTGGGCAGCTCAGTTGGTTAAGCATTCCACTCCTGACTTCCGCTCAGGTCATGATCTTATGGTTTGTGAGTTTGAGCCCTGCATCAGGCTCTGTTCTGTCAGCACGGAGCCTGCTTAGGATTCCCTCTCCCTCTCTCTCGGCCTCTCCTGTGCTTGTGCTCATGCTCTCTCTCTCAAAATAAATAAATAAACATTTAAAAAATAAAAACAAAAACAAATGTGAGCAGGGTCAAAACAAAGAGGACTTCTTCAACCTGTTGAAGGGCAGCTTGAAAATACCTGCAGTGGGGGCGCCTGGCTGGCTCAGTCTGTACAGCCTGTAATTCCTGATCGCAGTCAGGGTCAAGTCCCATGAAGGGCCCCATGAAGAGATTGCTTTAAAAAAATTTTTTTAGGGGCGCCTGGGTGGCTTAGTCGGTTGAGCGTCCGACTTTCGCTTAGGTCATGATCTCGCGGTTCGTGGGTTCGAGCCCCGCGTCGGGCTCTGTGCTGACTGCCGGCTCAGAGCCTGGAGCCTGTTTCAGTCTGTGACTCCCTCTCTCTCTGGCCCTCCCCTGCTCATGCTGTCTCTGTCTCTCTCTCCTAGAAATAAATAAAACATTAAAAAAAATTTAAAAAAAAAAATTTTTTTTAATCTTTAAATTTTTTAAAAAAAATTTTAAAAACCTACAGCTAACATATGCTGAAAGTCTAAATGCTTTCAGCCCTAAGACTGGGAACGAGGCAAAAATATCTGCTCTCACCACATCTCTGCAACACTGGATTGAGGGTCCTTACCCAGGACAATAAGGGGAAAAAAAATGGGGGAAAGGATAAAGTTAAATTGTGCTTATATGCAGATGACATGACTGTGTATGCAGAATGCAGAATATCCTAGGAATTCACAACACAAACAAAACTATTGGAATAATTTTATTTAGCAAAATGAAAGGATACATTTCAGGTCATTGTTTAAAAAAAGGCATTACTCTATACTAGCAATAATTGGAAAGTGAAATGTATGGAAACATTTCTGAAAGCATCAAAAAATAAAATATTTAGGGATACGGTTAATAAAACATGTGCAAGATTTGTACACCGAAAGCTATAGAATCTTACGGAAAGACATGAAAGATGTAAATGAATGAAGAAATATACCATGCTCATGTATAAAATGTCCCTTCTGCACTGGGTGTTATATGGAAACAAACTTGACAATAAACTATTAAAAAGAAAAAGAAACCACACACAAAAAAATGTCCCTTCTCCCCATACTGATTCTATAGATTCAGTGGAATCCTAATCAAAATTTCAGTGGGTGTTCAAGGGCACTTGGGCAGCTCAGTCAGTTAGTTAAGTGTCCAAGTCTTCATTTCAGCTCAGGTCATCATCTCACAGTTCGTGGGACTGAGTTCTGAGGCATCAGGCTCTGCACTGACAGCATGGAGCCTGCTTGGTATTCTCTCTCTCTCCCTCTCTCTCTCTCAAAAATAAATACATAAACTTAAAACAAACAAACAAAAGGAAACATACATATCATTTATATAAAGTTCCAGAACAGACAAAATCATCAATAGTGACAGAAAGCAGATCAGTGATTGCCTGGAATGGGGCCCAGGAGGAATGACTGCTAAGGGGCATGAGGGAAAATTGGGGGGCAGGAAAATGTTCTATTACTTCATTATTACTTATACCCCAATAAAATTGATTTTTTAAAAAAAATTTTAGGGGCGCCTGGGTGGCTCAGTCAGTTAAGCGTCCGACTTTGGCTCAGGTCATGATTTCATGGTTCGTGGGTTCGAGCCTCATGTTGGGCTCTGTGCTGACAGCTCAGAACCTGGAGCCTGATCCAGATGCTGTGTCTCCCTCTCTCTCTGACCCTCCCCTGCTCATGCTGTCTCTCTCTCTCTCAGAAATTAAAAAAAAATTAAAAAAAGCTTTAATGTTTATTTATTCTTGAGAGAGAGAGAGAGAGAGAGAGAGAGAGTGTGTGTGTGTGTGTGTGTGTGTGTGAGCAGGGGAGGGGCAGAGAGAGAGGGAGACACAGCATCTGAAGCAGGATCCAGGCTCTGAGCTCTCAGCACAGAGCCTGATGCGGATCTCGAACTCACAAGCCGTGAGATCATGACCTGAGCCAAAGTCGGATGCTTAGCCGACTGAGCCACCCAGGTGCCCTTAAAATTGATTTTTTTAAAAAAGACCACTTGGGTTTAATTCCTGGTTTTGCTACTTACTAGCTGCAGACTCTTGGGCACACAGTTTCATTTTTCTGTGCCTCTATTTCCCCAACAGAAAAGCGACAATGGTAATAACAATAATACTTCCGTCATAGGATTTTTTTGTTTTGCTTTGTTTTGTTCGTTGGTTTTTTCTTTTTTTTTCATTTCATTTGTTTTGTTAGATAAGCTCATGGGACTTTTGAAAAGATAAACAAGCAAATGTATTATGAACTGTGGTAGCCAACCTCTAAGAAGGCGTCGGATTCTTCCTGCCCCCATGGAGTCCCCTCCACAGGGAATAGGCTGACCTGTGTAACAAATGAGACATTGCCGAAATGATGGTGTGTGGTTTTGGAGACTAGGTCAGAAAACGCATTGAGCCTGCTGCTCTTGGATCACTCCTTCTAGGGGAAGCCAGCCACGAAGTCATGAGGCTTTTCATGCAGCCCCGTGGAGAGGTCTGGATGGCAAGGAATGAAGAAGGGCTCCTGCCAACAGCCAGCGCCAGCTTCCCAGCCATGGCAGTGAGCCAGCCGGGCCCTTCCGATGACTGGCTGACAGCTTGACCACATCCTCAGGAAGAGACTGGGAGTCAAAACCACCCCGCTAAGCTGCTCCCAATTCTTGACCCACGGAAACTGTGCGGGGTAATAAATGTTTATAAGGGTTTTTTTTTTTTTTTAATTTTTTAATGTTTTATTTATTTTTGAGAGAGAGACAGCATGAGCAGGGGAGGGTCAGAGAGAGAGGGAGACACAGAATCTGAAGCAGACTCTAGGCTCTGAGCTAGCTGCCAGCACAGAGCCCGACGCGGGGCTCGAACCCACGAACCGTGAGATCATGACCTGAGCTGAAGTCGGACACTTAACTGACTGAGCCATCCAGGCAACCCATGTTTACAAGGTTTTTAAAGCCAATGAGTTTGGGGGGAATCTGTTCCGCACCGATGAACAACGGAAACAAGCAGTAATGATAAGAGCTGACGTTTTCGAGCGTTTATCCACCTGACCTACTATGACCGCTAGTAGGTGAGTAACCGAATAGCCTCCATCTGTCCGTCCAGAACCACTCTCCATCCTTTCCCAGCCTGCTCTGTGCCCACAGAGACTGACTTGTTCAGAGTCCACAGACTCCTCTGTCTTTTGGCCAGTGGGGAGCCCCGAGGAAGAGACGGAAGGGAGAGGGAAGAGTGAGGTCAGGATATTTCTTCCTCGGCTCCCTCCCTGCAGGCCACCTCAGGCTGGCTCTGTTCCTCAACAGAAGGTCACCGCTCCTCCCTCAAGGTGGTTTGCTCCATACAACTCCCTCTGAGCCCTGGGGCTCCCTTGGCTGCCAGCCCTAGGGAGGTAAGAGCTCTCTCGCACCTCAACTGGCCTGGGAATGAACTACCCCTTTGCGATTCCCTGACACCCCGCTGACACCTAAATAGTCCCTTTATTCAGCCTTCCTCAAATTATCCAATTTGAGCAGACCATCTGTTTCCTTCTGGGACTGAGTCGGCCACCCTAATTAAAATCCCCCTACTTTGCAGAAGGAAGTAGAAATCCGTAGAGGACCAAGGAGATAACTCAGAAACAAATGGAAAAAGCAACAGAGGCCACCCAAGAGGGGCACTCTGCAGGCAATGGGCACTGAGAGATACCTGCTGAATGAATGAATGAATGAATGAATGAATGGGTAGGCACCAGGAAGGACTCATTTGCCCTACTTCCTGGAAGGCTATGGGTACTGAAGCAGGATGTCAGCAACTGAACTACTTGAGCCAGACAACAGTTGATAAGCAGCTCCCCAGCCCAGAGCTGGCTTCAGGAAGTCCTGCGTTGGAAGGATTAACACACAGCCTGGGACACCAAGGAAGCAGCCCCCGCCCCCCCCCCCCCACCTCAGTGAGACTCCAGAGTTATTTTTGAAAAGCAAGCAAGGCCTGCGGGCGGCCCTGGCAGAGCGCAGCGCTAGCAGAGAGAGCCAGCAGCAGAGAGAACAGACATACACAGCAGAGCCCACGCCCCATCCCTGTGACGTCAGCCCCACGCACTGTGACATAACACGGTGGGGGCGGGGAGGGGGTCTTGCATCCCCTTGGGAACTTTTTATTAACTGCGGCAAGATATGCATCCTATAAAATTTACCCTCGGGAATTTCTGAGCCACTCCCACCCAGGCTGAATGACACCGGGGACTGGATTCCAGCAGAACAGGGAGTCAGATCACCAGCCAAAAATATTTGTGTCCAAATGGTGTGTGAGATTTTGCTCAAGTCTGGAAAAATCCTAAAACTGAAGGGAGGGTCACTGCTATACGGCAAAGTCAGGGGCCAAGGATTAGGAAGGGGTTGGCATCCTTCACCCAGGAGAAAGAGTGGGGAGGCAGGAATGGCTGGGGGGGCAGGGGAGGGGAGGAGCAGAGAGCAGGTGTTGGGGCTGGAGTCTGAGCTGAGAGCTGCAAGGGGGCAGAGAGCGAGCAGCCGGAACGGTAGCGAACGAGCCCTGCAGATGACTGGAGAGGTGTCTGCAACCGGGGGTGGGAGGTCAGAGGCAGCCAGAGAGAGCCATCAAGGCCCCAAAATAACTCCCGCTTCTGCCTGGAGGCTCTGAAACTAATCAAGGTAAGGATAATCTTAAAATCCATCTGAGAGAGGTTGCTGAGAGGGCCTGCGTCCCCAAGCAGGGATTGGCGAGGAGGGAAATTAACAAAGGAGCTATCATCCTAGAAGACGGTGCCAACGTGAAAGCAAGCCTTTCTAGGGTTCCCCTCTGCTGAGTGCCTACTGTGTGCCCGGTGCTGTAGCATATGGCTAAACACGTGAGCTCTGCAGTCAGCCTGCCTGGGTGTGAATCCCTGCTCTGTTTCTCGCTGGCTGTGTGATCTCAGGCAAGTCACTTTTTCCCTGCTCTGAGCCGGTTTCCTTACCTGGAAAATAGAGATAAAATTCATCCTTGCCCCATAGGCTAGGTGAGAATAAGGGGTCAATGCATGAGAACTTTTTTTCTAAATGTTTATTTATTTTTGAGAGAGAGGGAGCATGCACAAGAGTGGGGGAGGGACAGAAAGAGAGGGAGACAGAGGATCCAAAGCCGGCTCTGAGCTGTCAGCACAGAGCCCAACGTGGGGCTCAAACTCCTGAACCGTGAGATCATGACCTGAGCCAAAGTCGGACACTTAACCGACATAGCGACCCAGGCGCCCTTCAGTGGATGAGAACTTTTAATAGGCATCTTCCCAGCCTTGGGAGGGGGGTGGTAGGCTTCTATCTCCTCATCTTACAAGGGGGTAAACTGAGGCTCAGAGAGCCCAAAGCTACATGGTTAATAAGTGTCAGGAGCCTGATTTAGGTCAGTCTAAATCAGAAACACGTGCATTCACTAGACCCAGCTGCCCTGGCCCTGCCTAGGGAGCAGCTCAGAGGACAGTAGTCTACAGGCAGGGCCCCGCCCCTCACCCACCACCTCTCTTCCAGGCCCCGTGTAGGGAGGCAGATCCAGCGTGGACAATGGAAACAGCCTCTGGGTGAGACAAGTGGGGCCCAGTAGGGAGAACGTGGCCTTCGACTCACTGTATGACCTTGGCTGAGTCCTTTCCCCTCTCTAGACCTCTGATTCCCCAGGTGCAGGACAAAGGGGTGGTAATAGGTGATTGTAGTCCTGGAGAGTCTAGGTTCTGTCTTGCTGTTCTCTCCCAGTGCCTGGTGCAAGAGGCAGTGAGGAACGGGCTAAGAAAGAGACCTGGTCAGGGGCGCCTGGGTGGCTCAGTCGGTTAAGCGTCCGACTTCGGTTCAGGTCATGATCTCACAGTTTGTGGGTTCGAGCCCCGCGTCGGGCTCTGTGCTGACAGCTCAGAGCCTGGAGCCTGCTTCAGATTCTGTGTCTCCCTCTCTCTCTGACCCTTCCCTGTTCACACGCGCTCTCTCTCTCTCAGAAATAAATAAAAAACATTAAAAATTTTTAAAAAAAAGAGAGAGAGAGACCTGGGCAGCTACAAGGCAGCCTTTCCTTCATGGTCCCTTCACTTCCTCTGGGGATTGGGTCGAGGCAGAGGGAACAGCAAAAGCAAAAGTCAGGAAATGAGGGCAAGCATGGCATGTTTGGGGAGCTACAAGCAGGATAATCTAGAAGCCTGGTTTATTCACCCATTCGATTACTCAACCGTGTTTATTACTGTGGGTCAGACATTGTTTTAGGCACTGGGGACAGTGATCAACATAGATAAAACCACATCTTTTGTGGGGCGCCTGGGTGGCTTAGTCGGTTAAGCGTCCGACTTTCGCTTAGGTCATGATCTCGCGGTTCGTGGGTTCGAGCCCCGCGTCGGGCTCTGTGCTGACTGCCAGCTCAGAGCCTGGAGCCTGTTTCAGTCTGTGACTCCCTCTCTCTCTGACCCTCCCCTGCTCACGCTATCTCTCTCTCTCTCTCTCCTAGAAATAAATTTAAAAAAATATATTAAAAAAAAAAAAAAAACCACATCTTTTGGGAGCTCACATTCTAACTGGGGGAAATGGAAAAACCGAGTGAACACCACTAACCAGGACAGTTTTAGGACGGGACAACTGCTCTATGAAGAATAGCAAATACTTATAAAGCATCTACTAGGGGCCAAGCACGGTTAGCAGATGTTAAATAATGTCATTTTTACTACGATCCTACGAGGTAAGAGCTATTATCATCATCCTGATTTTACAGCTGAGGAAACTGGCACGTAATGTGCCCGATGCCACACAGCCAGGAAGCCACAGAACAAAGATTCAAACCCAGGCCATCTGGCTCCCCTGTGCTGGCTGGTGGGGAGAGCATTAAGTAGGGCAATTCATTCAGAGAAAAGCACTCTAAAAAGGTAAAATTTGAGCCACATAATAAGGCACCGGCCATAGGAAGTCCAGGAAAAGTCCAGGAAACAGAAGGTTCCAGATGGAGCACTGAGCGCACTGAGTGCAAAGAACGCTTTGTGTGCAAATGCCCTGGGGCTACTAGGAGTTTAACCGGTTGGAAGTAGAGCAAGGAGGCCAGTTTCAGCTGGAGCAGAGGACCGAGGAGATCGGAGGGGTGCAGGGCAGACACGTGGAGGTAGGGAGGGGCCACAGGGATTGCTCCCAGGATCTTCTCAGCTGGGATGCTGAGAAGCATGGTCTAAAGTGGTAAAGTGCCACCCTCCTCTCCTTGCTTCAGGCCAATTTGGTCCAGGCGGAGCTGAGCTCTCCCCCAGGGTTTTTTTTTTTTTAATATTTTTATTTATTTCTAGGAGAGAGAGAGACAGCGTGTGCAGGGGAGGGCCAGAGAGAGAGGGAGACACAGACTCTGAAACAGGCTCCAGGCTCTGAGCTGGCAGTCAGCACAGAGCCCGACACGGGGCTTGAACCCACGAACCGTGAGATCATGACCTAAGCGAAAGTCGGAAGCCCAACCGACTAAGCCACCCAGGCGCCTCCAGGGTCTATTGTGGGAAAAAAGCCTCAGCTGAGCTGCCTGCCAGCTGTTTATCTGCTGTCACACCTCCCCTAGGCGGCCACCTCACCTCCGTGACTAATGGAGACCAGAAGGACTCCCCCACCTTCCTCCCTCCCATTCCTAAATCCACATCCTTCCTGGCCTTGGGCTTCCCAAAGACATACAAATGAGGGCCTTCTGTCCCCCAGCAGAGGCTAGACAGCCTTGTTCCTGCCCGCAGGGATCGCCTAGGCCTACCTCTAGTCCAAGCCAAGGGAGAGGGTGGAGTGTTCCTCAGCCTGGCCTAGTCCTATAGGCCGGAGTTAGAATCTCGGTTCCACCTCATGTGCTCTCGGGCAAGTGGCTTCACCTCTGTAAGCCTCGGTGTCCACATCCAAAAAATGGGAATAATGCCCCAGGGGGTCACTTTGAGAATTAAATAAAATGGGCCTGAGAGGGAGCTTCTGGGGGCTGGTAATGTTCTGCACAGCTTCACCTAGGAGGTGGTATATATAAAATCTAATGAACTGTGCACTGTAGATTTGTTCATTTTCTACTATGACCATTATAGCTCAATTTTTTAAAAAGGGCTAAGTGCCTGGCCCACAATTAGCACCACATAAATGTTACCTAGTATCAGGTGTTCCGTAACTATTTGTTGAACGAATGAAAACTTTAGTATCCTTCCCTATTTCATTGATCACGTATGTGATTTCCAGTGCTCTCGGTGCCTGGATGCCAAGGGAGCCCAAACTCAACCCGTCCGGGACTGAGTTCTTCCATTCAGTCGAGTCTTGCTCCTCCCCAAGCATTCCCCATCTGCCCGGGTCAGAAATGTGGATGTCATTCTGCCTGCCTTTTCCTCCCCCCTCCGTCCCCAAGCCCTCACAGCCAACCCATCACCAAAGCTCTCCCCAAAGACAGACCCCAACAATTCCTTCCCCTCACTGAAAGGGCATCCTCACCGGCAGTCACGAGATAGAGCTCAACTGCATGCAAAAGAAAGACGGTGGACCCCTGCCTCAATCCAAGGACAAAAATTAACTCATTGGATCGATGTCCTAAATTTTAAGACCTAAAACCACAAAACAATTGGAAGAAAAGATAAGGGTAAATATTCATGACCTCAGACCGGGCAGTAGATTCTTAGATTTGACACCAAAAGCACAAGCAATAAAAGAAAAATAGATAAATGGGATTTTATGAAAAGTAAACATCTGTGTGCATCAAAGGACATTATCAAGAAAGTCAAAGGGGGTACCTGGCTGGCTGCATCAGTACAGCATGTTATTCTCTATCTCAGGGGTGTGAGTTCAAGCCCCACATCGGACATAGAGGCTGCTTAAAATAATTTTTTTTAAAGTGACAAGACAGGCGCCTGAGTGGCTCAGTCGGTTAAGCATCCGGCTTCAGCTCAGGTCACAATCCCACAGTTCATGGGTTCGAGTCCCGTGCTGGGCTCTGTGCTGACAGCTCAGAGCCTGGAGCCTGCTTCGAATTCTTTGTCTCTCTTGCTCTCTGCCCCTTCCCCACTCGCTCTCCCTCTCTCTCTCTCAAAAACAAACATTTTTAAAAAATAAAAAGTAAAAAATAAATAAAGTGTGAAAACACAGTCTACAGAATGGAAGGAAATGTTCACAAGATATATCTGATATGGGTTTAGTATCCTGAATATGTAAAAAACTCTCAGCGACTCAACAACACAAAGACAAACAACCCAACTAAATAATGGACAAAGAAGACACACAATAGGCCAAAAAGCACATGAAAAGATGTTCAACACCACTGGTAATTAAGCAAATGCAAATCAAAACCATAATGAGATACTACCTCACATCTATTAGGATGGATTTATTTTTTTTTAATTTAATATTTATTTCTTTTTGAGAGAGAGAGAGCATGAGTGGGGAGGGGCAGAGAGGGAGACACAAAATCCGAAGCAGGCTCCAGGTTCTGAGCTCTCAGCACAGAGCCTGACACAGGGCTCGAACTCGTGAACCACGAGATCATGACCTGAGCCAAAGTTGGACACTTAACCAGCTAAGCTGCCCAGGCACCCCACATGAGGATAGCTTTAATAAAAATAAAAATAAACAGTAAACAGTAGGTGTCAGCAAGATGTAGAGAAACAGAAACCCTCATACACACTGGTGGGAATGTAAAACATTCAGCCCCTGAGGAAAACAGC